GCAAGGGAGAGTAAAGAAAGTCAAGATGGTGCCTGCAGTAGTGTGGTTGAAGCCCCTTTTTTGCATGTCAGCCCTGCAAGGTAGTCCAGACCAGGAAGCCCAAACCATGAAGACTAACCCGACTTTTATTGTAAGGTTACAGTAACCGAATCTTGCAAGTCTGAAAGCGCCTCCCCCCTCTCCTGCCTTTACGTTCCAGAGAACTAGGGAGAGTCCCTTCTGAGTCGCTTTCTCCATCCCCATTCCTCTGGACTCCACTTTCTCTTATCAGACCATTGTCTAGGCTTAGCTCTTCCTTCTGTTCCTCAAGGTCGTTCTCACAGCCCATTACTGTTGCATGCAAAATGCATGTAAAAAAGAAAAAGTTGCAGTCACCATCTTGACTTTTTTGGCCCCCCCTGCAGATGCATCTGGGGGAAGAGGTGCTGATACAAGTCAACTCTACTTTTTTTTGGGGGGGGGAGTGACCCGATCCATTTGAACCCTTTCTGCCTCTCCCAACTGTGCTGCCAATCCTTCCTTAACTCGTTGATGTCTCCTTCTGCCAACCAGGTGTTCTGCTGTCCCTACTGCAACTACGTTGACCAATCAGCCGAAGCCGTGCGGGCTCACACCATCTCCCAGCATGCCGTGCAGCCCAAGTTCCACTGCCCCCTGTGCCAAGAGCAGCTGGTGGGCCGTGCCAACCTTCACTTCCATCTCAGCCACGTTCACAACGTGGTGCCCGAATGCGTAGAGAAGCTGCTGCTGGTGGTGCGTGCAAGGGCCACAGGCCAGAATGGGACAGGATGGCTCCTTTTCTTTCAAGGGGACTCTGGCACCTTAATCGCTTGTGCCGCAGTTCAGTAGGGGAAGCCTTTCTGTCCACTGAACTGGGGGAAAGCTTGACCTGTTGAATCGGTCCCTGTCTGATAGGAACCTATCGGACGAAAGAGGGGAAGGGAAAGAGGGGATTTGCAGCTATTGGATGGGGAGGATGAGACGGATGGAATGGTGAGGTGATTTTGATGGGGAACGTTTACTGTGTACTTTTAGCTGTTTTGTCTCTTGCTCCACTTCAGGCCACTACAGTGGAAATGACTTTTGCCACAAAAGTTGTTCCTGGAGTCACCCTTCCTCCTGATCTGCCCAAACCAGGCGGGACTCCCAGCGTAGAGCAAGGAGCTGGAACGGAAGCCCCAAGCCCCTTCATTGGTAAATAAGTGTTTTGTCTCCCCCCCCACATAGCAATTGACTCATCTTTCATGAAATGAGTATGTACGGGTGGTCCTCGCTCAGCGCCGAGCTCGCAGTTATGACATCACAGCATCCCAGTCACGTGATCATCATTCGCAACCTTCTTTGCTGGTTTCCTACAAGCAAAGTCAATGGGGAAGCCGGCAGGAGGGTGCAAATGGTGACTATGTGACATCCTCACTTAATGACAGTGTGGGATTCGCCTAACGACGGCAATCGGAAGGGCCGGAATTTCCATTGCAAAGCAACAGAGTCACACAACGTTGTGCTTTACAACCACACTGCTTAGCGATGGAAATTCCAGGCCCAACTGCCATTGTTAAGGGAGGCCTACTTGTACTCTTCTTTAATATCAAAAGGTTTCTAGGTTGCTCTAAAAGATCAGGAGGGGGAGGTGGGGGCCAGGGTGAATTTCCTTGGTGAGCTTGCTTGTCTTAGCTGCTGCATAGGGCTGAACATTCGTGACATCCCAGAATAGCCAGCCCCCACCCCGTTCAATTTTTATCTGGGGTTTCAAGTTGCTTGGAACAGAATTTTCTCCCAGATAGCAAACTACAACTTTCGAAAATTCTGTTGAAAGCAAAGGAATGAGCAAGAGGTGCAAACAGCTGCATATTTCATGGCTGGCTAGTGCTGCTTGCCTGGTGAATTTAACCCTTCGTAACCACTTTCTTTTCTAATTCATCCACTACTTTGCCTCGCTTCGTCTCCATCCTGTTTGTTTGTTTGTTTTTGCTTTTGCCTTTTCTGCTGAGCAGAAGGAGGGGAATATGGGTGGGCATATGCACTTGTCTCGACACGTGAGAGTTGTCAGCACGCATGAAGAGAATGGTTGGATTTCTAGATGGAGACTGATTTGATGCTACGGGCTATTTTAATAGCAGTTTATTCAACTGAGAGCTAGTCTGGTGCAGTGGTTAAGGCCCCAGGCTAGAAACTGGGAGACTGTGAGTTCTACTCCTGCCTTAGGTACAAAGCCGGTCACACTGGGCCAGCCGCCCTCTCTCAGCCCTTGGAAGGAGGCAACGGCAAGCCACTTCCGAAATCTTGCCAAGAAAACTGCAGGGACTAGTCCAGGCAGTCGCCAGGAGTCAACACTGACTCAAAGGCACCAAAATAAATATATATTTTTTAAATCAATTAATATCAATGTATTTTTCTTATCTTGGCCGTGGTCTTTTCTTGGAGTGTGGCTTCTGCCTACCACTCCTTTTTGGGGAGAGGGGGTGTTTTCTTTTGTAAGGATATGTGCAGTAACTTTCTTCTCTCTTCCCCCTCCTTTCAACAGCACCAGCCGCAGAGGAGAAAGCCTCCCCGACGCCGGTGCTTTGCCCTGAAACCCCCCCACCTTCCGTGGCTACCTCCCCGCCTCCTAGCGAGCGCCCCGAAAAGTCGCTTCCTGCCTCTCCTCCCCCTCCCCTCCCCCCTCCCTCTCTTGCTGTAACTCCTCAAGAATCTGAAGAGGATGACCCTTCTCAGCCAAACGTCACCCTGGAGGAGCAGCAGCCATCAGCACATGTCCTGGTGGAGCCCCCTGAGGCCTCGCCCCCCATCCTGCCAAATCCAGATTCCCGGCACCCGCTCTCCTACCGCAAGGCAACCAATTTTGCCTTAGATAAATTCTTGGATCCGGCCCGTCCCTATAAATGCACAATTTGCAAAGAATCTTTCACTCAGAAGAACATTCTCCTGGTGCATTACAATTCTGTTTCCCACCTCCACAAGATGAAAAAGGCCTCCGCAGACCCTTCCGTGTCGTCTCGGGGGGAGCCCGGCACCCCCGGGGCTCTCCAGCCATCCTCCGACAAACCTTACAAGTGTACCACGTGCCGCGTCTCCTACAACCAGAGCTCCACCTTGGAGATCCACATGCGGTCCGTTCTGCACCAGACCCGCTCCCGCGTGGCCAAGATGGAGGCCGCGGGCAAGGCGGACTTGCCCCCGGCTGAGTTGGAGCACCCAAACGAGACCCCTCTGGAAACAGAGGCCCCCGGCTGTGTCCAGGTGCCTGCACTCCCGTTTTTAACGCCATCCGCAGAACTACCACGCTTTCCTACGCCCCTGTTCACTCCACCATTGCTGCCCCCCTTCCCTTTGGTACCCGAGTCACTCCTAAAACTGCAGCAGCAACAGCAGCAGCTCCTGCTTCCTTTCTATTTACATGATCTTAAGGTGGCCCCCAAATTGGCTTTAGCGACTCCAGCCCTGACTCTCCCCACCCCCTCGCCTGTCCTGCTACCACCGCTACCCCCCAAGGAAGAACAGGCCCCCACAGCCTCTAGTAGCTGCAAGGCAGAGACGGCTGAAGAGACTGAAGGAGAAGAAGCTGAGGGGAGTCAGCCTGGGAGCGAGGCCTCCCGCACGGCTGCCAAAGCCCTCCTGGAAAACTTTGGCTTTGAGCTAGTAATCCAGTACAACGAGGGCAAGCAAGCTGCCGCAGCGCCCCCAGCCATCCCGCCTCGCCCCCCTGCGGGCAAGCTACAGTGCGGCACCTGTGGGAAGCAGTTCTCCAACATGCTCATCCTGAAGACCCATGAGGAGCACGTGCACCGGCGGTTCCTGCCTTTCGAGGCCCTCAATCGCTACGCGGCGCAGTTCCGGAAGAGTTATGATAGCATGTATCCCCCCCCTCCACCCGTGCTCCCCATTGAGTCCACTGTTGCCACCACCGCTGCTGCAGCGGTCTCAACCGTCACCACCACTGTTGTGGAGAACACCACAGTCACCGTGACACAAGCCTCCATGCCCTTGGAGATTCCCTCTCTCTGCCCTCCATTTTTAATGCAGCCCATGCCAGTGGTTGTGCCCCCACCAGAAAATGAGACTCCCTGTGTACCTCCTGAACGCTTGAAGTCTCTGTGGTTTCGAGGGGAGGAAGAGGAAGGCAACACTGCATCGTCTGGAGTCCTTGATCTTCCCCGAGGGAGCTTCCCCACAACCCGCCGTTTCTCTCGTACCAAATTCACAGAGTTCCAATCTCAGGCTTTGCAGTCCTTCTTTGAGTCAAGCGCTTATCCCAAAGATGGTGAGGTGGAGCGTCTGTCCGTGCTTTTGGGGTTGCCCAATCGGGTCATTGTGGTCTGGTTCCAAAACGCTCGCCAGAAAGCCCGAAAGAGCGGCGGGAATGAAGCCAGCGTGGGCAGCGGAAACGCCACAGCGCAGCCGTCTTGTAAAAAGTGTCGGACGTCCTTCCGCTGCATCTTTGAGTTGGTGCGCCACCTGAAGAAGTGTTACAATGATCAGCTTGATGAGGGGGAAGGAGATGGGGCAGAGGAAGAGAATGAAGGCCCCGAGGAGGAGGAGCAGGAGGAGGAAGAGGAAGGGGAGCAGCGAGAAATCTTGGGACCTGGTGGAGATATCAAGACAGATGCGGCTGGGGACAAACCCATGGAAGAAGAGCAACCTGCCCCCTCAGTGCCCCCAGAGATCTCCAAGAGCCACCCCTGTGATCAGTGCACTGCCATCTTCTCAAGCAGCGATCTCCTCAACATCCACCGCATTAGTCACATGCCAGCAGCTGCTCCTCCATTGGCTTCTACCGGTCCACCACCTTCCCTCGACATGACCCCTTTAGTATTTGGCGAACGCGCCGTCCACCCAGATTCTTCTCGTGCGCAGAAGCGGAAACACGAAGATGGGACCCTGTCTCCCACTGGGAGCGAAAGTGCCAGCGTGCTTGGAGGAGACAATGATCCCCCCCGGGACAAGCGCCTGCGCACTACCATTTTGCCAGAACAGCTGGAGATCCTCTACCGCTGGTACATGCGAGATTCTAATCCCACCCGGAAAATGCTCGACTGCATCTCTGAAGAAGTTGGGCTTAAAAAGAGGGTCGTCCAAGTGTGGTTCCAGAACACAAGAGCCCGTGAGCGAAAGGGCCAGTTTCGGTGTAATACCAGTGCCACCACCCCAACCAGCAAGCCCTCACCAGCACACCCCAACGCTTTCCCAAAGTTCAACCCTCCACCACGGGACCCGCCTGTTCATTATGGTGGTTCCTTCACACCCAACCTCCCTGCTGTTAACCTACAGCCACTTCTCACGAAGCCAGAAGTCCCCACAGAACCACAGATGCAGGAAGAGATGGCTGAAGAAGAGGTACCCAAGGAGCAAGAAGACAGAAGCCTGTCTGGGGGAGAGCTGAGCGATTCCTCCTCCTCCTCCTCCTCCTCAGCTGACCTGGATTTCTCCAGCAGCCAAAGGAATCGAATGATGGATGGAGGGCTGGGAGGCGTGCAAGACTCTCTGGGTCAGAGGCGGTATCGTACCCAGATGTCTAGCCTCCAGCTGAAGATCATGAAGGCTTGTTATGAGGCCTACCGAACCCCAACCATGCAGGAGTGCGAGGTGCTGGGGGAGGAGATAGGGCTACCCAAGCGGGTTATTCAGGTGTGGTTCCAGAATGCCCGGGCTAAAGAGAAAAAGGCTAAGGCTGCCTCCGGCGGGACCAGTGGCGGTGATGAGGCCCCCTCCACTGCTCAGGCTCAATCTGAATGCCCCTACTGTGAAGTCAAGTACGATTTCTACGTCTCTTGCCGTGGGCACCTCTTCTCCCGAGGCCACCTAGCTCGGCTAAAGGAGGCCATCAAATCCCAGCTCAAGAGCGAGAGCAAGTGCTATGAGCTGGTGTCGGACAAGGGAACACCCTCCCCAACCAGGCTGGGGGTGCCTGTGACCCCTACCGCCATGCCATCTTCTCTTGGAAGCAAGTCCCCCTTTGTGCCAGGTGAGTGGGGGTTGTTAGACAGTGACGTTTGTTGACATCCAAGGATAGTAATGGAGCTTGGGGTTGAGATGCATTATGGATTCCTGCATACTACACAATGTCCTCTCTTTGCTGTAGGAACGCCCCATTCTGATCTTTCCAGGAACATCTCAGATGTTCTGCAGGGTCCTCCAACAATTCCCTACATCCGTTTTAAGTTCTGGTCCAGGTTTGGCCTGGGACGTTGGTCTACAGCGTTTTCATTTTCAGGTTTCCTTCTGTTGCTCGGTTTTTCTCATTCTCACATTGGTACATCCCTTCCTTTTGCCCTTCTGGTTCTTTTTTGTGAGGGGGAGAGGGAGAATGGGGCTGGATGCAAAATGCAAAGGAGTTTCCCATTCTGTCCTCCCTCCCTGCATCGACTGACCGAGGGCTGCAGGCGGACTCCCTTTCCAGAGAGGGCATCTGTCCCAGAAATCAGAGGAAACAGATTCTAGTGTGGCGAGGCTGGAGGAGCGCGATTGGTCAAGCTGCAAAGGCAGGAAGAGGTTTCTGGAATTTTAACTGGGAAAAGGGGGCAGAGGCAGCGGGAGAGGGCACGCTATGCCCAAGAGAGACAGACCAAGAAGATCCCCAAATTCATCTCTCTCTTTTTCTCTCCCACCCCAACAGGCACGTCTGCTTCCTCCTCGGGGGTCCTGAGCTCCCCTTTGGCCCCCTCCCAGCCAGGCCTCTCCTTACCTCAACATCTGTCACCAGAATCGGGCCAGCTCGGCCCCTTAGCTGAGCCTGCTCCTGCTCCGGCTCCTGCTCCTGCGGCCTCCCCAAGTGACAGTCAGGCCGAACCCACGTCAAATTCAGCCCAGGACCCCTCCTTGTCCTCCACTGCCACGCTGAAGAACCTCAAGACGTTGAAGGCTGCGGTGCCGGCCCTGCTGGGGGGCCAGTTTCTGCCCTTCCCGTTGCCAGCAGCGGCCACGGCGGCGGCGGCAGCCCCCTCCCTTTTCGGAGCCCAGCTGCCCGGGGCGTACTTCCAGCAGCTCTACGGCATGAAGAAGGGGCTGTTCCCCATGAACCCTGTCATACCTCAGACACTTATGGGGCTGCTGCCCAGCCCCCTGCTCCCAACACCCACACCTGAGCCCCCCGTCGAGGTGTCCGAGGCCCCCGGCATCTCTACCGTCGACGTGACTCACCAGTACCTTTGCCGCCAGTGCAAGGCAGCCTTTGAGAGCGAGGGGGCGGCTGTAGCCCACCAGGCCGCTCTGTGCTACTTCGGGCGCCAGCCCCCAGCAGCGCCACCCCCACTGCGCGTGCCTGTGTGCACCTACCACTGCCTGGCCTGCGAGGTGCTCGTGAGTGGGCGGGAGGCGCTGGGGGCCCACCTGCGCTCCAGCGCTCATCGGCGCAAGGCCAGTTCCAACACAGCAACCGCATCGGTGTTTGCCAAAGAGGAATCCAAATTACCTCACTCGGACTCCAATCCAAAAAGTAACGCTACCTCTACGACACTACTAGCTTTATAGAGATGGATGCTATACTGCCGCCAATGGAGAGAGAATGACTAGCGAACGAATCTGTGGGTGGGTGGACGCCCGCTTGGACGACCCCTCTGCTTCCACCCAACGGTCCTCCTTCAATGTTCATTTCAGCTCCAGGTCCACCTTTTTTCTAACTGCCAGCAAGGAAGTCATCACGAGAGAGGGTCCCTCCCCAAGCTGATTTCGAGGGCCCAGATCCCCCATCCCAATTTTTATTCCGGATATCACTCCTCTTCCACAGGATGACCAGAGGTTGAGCACAATGGCAGCCCATCCATTGAGGAAGCCCTGGTTCTTATTAAGCTTCATCTTCTCTAGAGGGTGTCTAGCTCAACAATTCCCTGGACGTCTGCTAGGACATTACATTCTCCAACCATACCCTTTCTTCACCAGAACTGTCCTTCCTCCCATTCAGATATCTCCTTAAGTGTCAGTTGATGCTAATTCCCTACCTCTTCCCCCTCTCCCGGCCAATGAGATCCTATTGGCCAGATCCAATGTGAATGGCAGCCCCAAATCTTTCCTTCTCTTGTTTCCTCCATAGTTCCTTCCCACCCATTTCTGTATTCCTGAGTCTTCCACCTCCTGTGCTATAGACAGGTCCCTCCCTTGAGAAAGGCAGAAGAGGCTCCAGATCTCTTACATCTCGGCATCTTCAGCGACCTTCCCACCTTTCGGTGATTTCTGTCAGGAACATCTCAAGGGGATGAGGCCGTTTTAATGTCCTTTGATGATCCTGAGAAGTTGGGACTTCTCCCTTCTTTTATAATATCAAAACTATGCCACCTCTCTTCACATCAACGAAAGCGCTCCAAAATTCTTGACCCACACGTCACACAACTCCCGTCCACCCTACCGCGCGTGGCCCCAAACCCTCCCTTGACGAACCTTGGCTACAACCTGGTCTCACCTCTCCCACCCACCCCATGTAAGACAGTTGCTGGCATATGTCCATTATACACTCAAGTCTCCTCTCTCTTACAGTTACACACACATACACCCCCCATAAGAGCTCCTTCTCTCACACTTACCTTCCACCCTTTTACTGTGTTACCGACGGGAAAAGGCCAAAAAAATAAAAAAAGAAGGATGCAGAAAGAATGGACAAGAAAAAAGATGAATCCAAGGAGAAAAAACTCAAGGCAGGAGGCGATTAAGTTGAGAAACTCAGTCTCCCACCACCATTACCACCAACCCTCAAAGCGCACGTGCTGCCCATTTTTGTATATTAATTACCGTCAAGGCCGGATGGACTAATTCCTGAACTGTTGATGGATTTGATCAAGTTGAACAGCAACCAAACAGGGCAAGAGTTTCTCTTCCCCATAATTTTTGTTCCTCTCTCTCCTCCTCCTCTTCCCCACCCCCAGCTGGATCTTTACTTGCACTGGGGAACCAAATAAAACCGACAACCTCGCTGTCTTTTTCCTCCTGATAGACGTGACTTCTGTCTCTGCGCGGGAAACGACACAAAACCTAACTCCGATGGCTTTAAAAAAAACAATTTAAAAAAAAAGAGAGAGAGAAAGAATGCTGAGAGACCGACTCTCGTCAAACGCGCAGACGCTCCCCGTGTGCCGCGTGCTGACGTCCTTGCAAAAAAAGAAAAAAAGAAAAAAAAACACAAAAACCCTCTTTATGAATCCAAAGCTCTTAAAAAAAAAAAAAAAACTTCTATACAATAACCAAAAAGAAAAACCAACCAACCAAGAGAGAGAGAGAACACCCACCAACAAAAAGGAGTCATAAAAAGCAAACTGGAAATAATTTTCTTTTTTAAAAAAAAAAAAAAAGACGTAAGATGAAGGAGAAAAAAAAGTTAACCCCTCACGTTCTCCCCTGCCTTTGTATCGCTTATTTTTTTTTGGGGGGGGTCTTTTCATTCCCTTCCACAATGTATTTTCTATACCCTCCCAACCAACAAAGATGGACGTGAATTTTAAGAAGTGGATGAACATGGAAACTTGTGGGTTAAAGAAGGGGATGCAAAAATGAAAAAACACCGCCCTTACACAGATACCAAACAAACTACATTGGGGTAGTACAAGGAAGGCTGAGTGAAAAGCAGCTTATCCTCTGGGCCGCCCCATTCTCAACTCTCCTTCTCCCCACAACTCTACACCCCAGACTGGGGGGAAAAATGTCTTTCTGTTGTGTATTTAAAGCGAGGGGGTGGGGAGGTTGGGGAATGATTAAAAAAAGAAAAAAGAAAATAAAAATTATATTAAAGAGATGATCTGGAAGAAAACAGGATCAAATGCGAGATGTGGATTGGGCTAGAAATACTGGGAATGGGACGGTGCGTAGCAATATTGGGGTTTTCCGAGCTTTATTCCTCTTGTTTAAGGCGTTGTGTATCGGTTTGTAAATGCACCCCGTTAACAGGCTGTGTCCTCTTTTAGTTCGGAATTGAGGAGGGGAGTGTAAACTATTTCCATTGCAGAGTGTGCTGACCGCAAACTGGACAAGTCGGAGCTTTCCAGAATGAGGACAGTCCACTTCTGGAACGGCCCCGTTCCAAGATTAGGGTTTTTGCAATGAAATCTTTTCCAGCACCGCAAGTGTTGGACTTCAGGCGTAGCCCATTTCTTTTGCACATTCTCGGTCTTGTTTCTGAAAAGCTTTAAACTTTCAGAAATAGCTGGTTTTGGAAAAGGTATATTGATCCTTGGTTCATTGTCGCAGTGCATCCTGAGGATGAATGAATAGGGGCAAATCATTTCCGCCCGCCACAGACACAGAAATGGCGGTAGCGGTTGGACGGCACGATGTACAGCAAGCTTAAGGGATCTTATGTCTCTCTGATAGAAAGCCTAAACATGAAGTCTTTTGAGGAAGCACAATTCTCCGTTGGGCACTTTGCATGATGACAAAATTACACCATTCTCTGCTGCTTAATCTTGGCATCTGTGATAGGAAGCAAAACAACCCTAAAACGCTATTTTAGAAACACAGAACTGCCAGATATACTCCTAGATAAATATTTTTCAACAGGTATCAGTTTTATGATGTATTGTCTACGTATTTTCAGACTCAACAGACTTGGAAGGGAAAAAGCAACAAGCAGATAGAAATAATATTATTTGTTTCTTTTACTTATTTCCCATTGGGTAGAAAGTAGGCTAGTAAAAATCAACTACAAGCTTATTACAGGTCGTCCTCGTTTAGCGACTGTTTGCAGTTACAATGGTGATGAAAATGTAACTTTGTGACCAATCCTTGCATTTATGACCTTTGCAGGTCTGTAAAGCAAAAGAAAATCATAAACACAGTTGCAGTTTCACTTAGTGACCGCTTTGCTTAACAACTGAGTTGCCAGTCCCAATTGTGGTCGCTAAACAAGATTACCTGTATTCTCTCTAAATACCAATTCATCGCACTTACATCTCATCACACTAAAGTGGTGTTTCCCAACCTGGCAACTTCCAGTTATGTGATCTTTAACTCTCATAATTCCCTAGCCAGCCTGTTGGGGAATTCTGGGAGTTGAAATTAAGACATCTGGAAGTTGCCCGGGTTGGAAAACAGTCTCTAAAATGTGACGATAAACTGCAAATCAGAATGACAATAAAGGTAAAAGACTAATGTAATTCTCCGTAGCTGAAATCAATCAGGAGCTGAGCAGGTTTTAACTCATGCCCCGAAGATATAAACGTAATCAGAGCAATGCCAGGGTAACTCATATACAGGAACAACCCCTTGGCACTTAGACCTATCCTCCATATAAATTTGGTTCATGCATAACCATGATACCCATATCCAGTGTTTCTCAACCTTGGCAGCTTTAAGGTGTGGGGACTTCAACTCCCAGAATTCCCCAGCCATGTGCTGGCTGGGAAATTCTGGGAGTTGAAGTCCCCACAGCTTAAAGCTGCCAAGGTTGAGAAACACTGTCCATATCAGTTCAGTGAAAGAAAGAAGATTCACAGAGAATATAACTTATTGACCGGCAGATGTCCAATGTGAGTTGGCCACTGGTGGACCCTTCTGCCAAGAAGCCAACATCAAATAAATCCTTTATTTGGCTTAATCACTAACCCTAGTTCTATCAGCTCCTGGTTCCCTGTTGCCACCCGGGTTGCTTTTGCCCCAAATTAACTCATTTGGGTCGGTTTGCCCAACCTGCTGAACCATAAGCAAATCAACTGTTTGGATTAGCTCAACCAGGTAAGTCGCAGAGAAAACTGACCCAGGTTACTGCTAACCAGGTTTGGGAGGTCATGCCACCGCAGCCATCTCCCGGTCATCGAACGAACGTGCGCGCCTCCCTGTCTGCCTTCAACCCGTCGTGGTCTTTGTCACCCATAATGTTTCGATGGACTATTTTGTAACTCTGGTGTTTCTCAAGCTGTGAAAAGCGGGTCAGCCTTTGAAGAAGCTGAGCTGGGCGGAAAAATGTTTTTGCAGCTCTCTGCTCGGCTCCTTCGGAGGCCGGGATCCCAGGTCAGAAAGGGAAGGCTCCAGCCGGACCCACATACCTGGGTGGTTGTGAGCGTAACACAAGGACACCAATGTGTAGCCTACCCCAACGTTCTTGGAAGGACAGAGGGCTAAGATGGACGGATCTAGATCAGAAAAAACACCCACAAGGCGGGCCAGCTGATCGTGGCACGGGGGGCTTCCATTTTCCTAGCTCTGGTTTAAAACCAGCTGGTGAAATTTAGCCCCCCCCCCCCAATATGCCTTGCTTAGAATTTGGGTTTGAAGCAGCACATGGTGTGAACTTTGCCATTGGGACTTTGTCAACAACTCTTGTGCAGTGGGTGAATTGGGACTTTCATGTCTGTCTGTTCTGGTTATTTGTGTGCAAAACCGTGCAGAAAAGGGAGGGCCATCTGGGAGAGTTAGCCTCTGTTTGCACGATACATGGAACTGCACGCAAGCCAAGCAAAAAATCCAGTCTGTGGCATCGTGGCTTGGTTTCTCGTGCAAACCTAGATAGTTGGGTTACTTAACTAAGTAAGCGTTGCATGAGAAACCAGCTTGTACATTGCGGCTCAATTCATTTTGTGCTTATTCTGGGCTTCCAAACTCGTTTGCAAACTCTCTAGATCCAGCCACCTCTCAATTTTCCCCCCTGCCATCCAAAAGGCAAACTAAATATGAAACAGAAGAAGAACCACCCAGATGTGCACCTAAAATATAGAGGCCTGCGTACAAAATCATAGCAGAATGGCCAGCTGTGAGTGAGCAGGAAAAGATGTTTAGGTCTCTGAGAATTCTACTTTTTAAAAATGAGTTTCTAGTCCTCATGAGAGTAGAGGAGCAAAAATAGAACAGGGGCTGGTAGAAGAAAAGCGAAAAAAAAAAGAATTTTGCAACTTTGTATGGTGCAAAGAAAAAAATGGGTGCTGAAACTCCGGATAGTAAATGCATTTATCAACATACCGGTTTGTTTGCATCTGCTTTGACGTCTTCCACAGCGATGCAAAATGGAATAAAAAAGCGATGCTCTGATTGTGACACCTTCCCAGGAAATCTGGGCCTTTTTATTGACCTTCCCCTTCTTTTCAAGGCAAAACCTGATTTAAACAACAAATGGTACATCTCCCTAAACTGAAGCGAAGCATTTTAGAAAGTCTTTGGAAGGCACCAAAATTAAACAATTTGATTTACAGAAAAAGTAGATTAGGGAGAAACGTTCTAGGCGAATCCTTTGTTTTAATAGGGATGATTCAAGGAGGTGCCCCCCCCACATCTCAAAGTGGTATAATCCAGAATGGAGCATACCACATTATTATTATTATTGTTGTTAAATTGGCAAGATTACTTCTGAACATCAACTTTCTTAAGGAGTGCTTCTCAACCTTGGCCGCTCGTAGATGCGTGGACTTCAACTCCCAGAATTCCCCAGCCAGCATGGGGAATTGCGACTGTTCAGAGATAAGATGGGAATTGTTTCTAGGGCTTATGAAGGGTGCCAAGTTAGGAAAAATTGTCGTAGGGCAGTGTTTTCCAATCTTGGCAACTTTAAGATGCGTGGACCTCAACTCCCAGAATTCCCCAGCCAGCATGGGGAATTGCGACTGTTCAGAGATAAGATGGGAATTGTTTCTAGGGCTTATGAAGGGTGCCAAGTTAGGAAAAATTGTCGTAGGGCAGTGTTTTCCAATCTTGGCAACTTTAAGATGCGGGGTGGGCAC